TTACGGAATACGGGATTGAGTGAATGTTTTAATCAGGGAACATTTCTTGTTGGCCATGTTTGTTTTTAGACTAACGCAGATATGGAATGGAAATTTGCTCGCGCAGTAGTCGCTGATGAATATACAAGACATCATCCCATTGTTGTTCCTTTCAACATCATCACCTTCCCTATCTCTCACTGTTATATCAAGAAGTACGGAGACAGCCGAGCAGAGGTTAGGAGAGGCTAGCTGCAGATAATTTCCTAACCCGGAATCAGTCTTAGCTAACGAATATGTATATACACGATGTCATCCTATTCCTCTCCCTCACTAATATTAATGTTCTATATACTTACGACGTCTTGTCTCGTGTGGAAAATAAGATATCTCGCCCCCAAGGTGCATAATTTAGACATTTCTCCCCCCTCTGAGTGTATTACGTCTTCACAGTCTTTTCGCCCCTTTCGTTGTAAGGCCACCTAACTGATAATTACTGTACAAAGGCCTTAACATGACAAACTTGTTATACCTACCGTTACCGAAAACATATCAGTTTCATCTCATTTCATTCATGAAGACCACCTTTTGTTAATTAGCAATTATTGGGTATGATCTGAAGAATTGTTCGAAATTATGCAGATCGGGAGGGTGTAATCCACCTCTGCCCGCATAATTGTTGCGAATATATGAAAGCCGAATCCACAACTGCTTTATTATATTCATGTATTATAAAATAATTCCTACTTTAAAAGACATGCTAGCCCTTGATCGGTTGGTTTCCCCTTCATTTGCCTGTTACTCGGCATCATGAAACTGTCCACCTACCCCTCCCCTAAGCCAACATTCACACTTCTCTCTTAGGGCAAAATGTTGGCCAGGGGCCCGTTTCTCCAAAATCGCGATAACTTTTCGGGCTAGGAAACTGTTTCCTGTTTGCCGTTTTGCATTCAAGATCAAAGTTTCGGTAATTCTAAAAATAATACAATGAAACTATCAGTTAACAAATCAAAATTGCATGACTGGTTTGTGAACTAGGAACTTTGCTACTATTCAAAAGGTTCTGATTTTTTTCGGGCCCGAAATGTTTCCGTGCCTTTCGAGAAACAGGCCCCAGCTCAGCTAACACACCCTCGTTCCCAGGGCGTCTCGGTTGTCGATGTCGCAAATGTCTTCCGATTTTGGTCAAAGCTAACTGGTTATAAAGAATTAGGGCCAGTTCATTCGTCGTGTTTCTACTGTGCCGAACTCAAGTAATGTAATTGGTTTAGAGACTTGTGCTTCTGCTCTGCTTTTGTCAAACTTACTGTTCAGGAATTACGTTCGGCACGGCAAAAGCACGATGAATGAATTGGGCCTTAGCCCGGGGATTTGAGCCAATCATAAACGGAAAAAAAAAACTGAATGACTGATAATGAGACCTACACATTTGCCCTACAATGCTGATTCAAGATCTTTTTTTTTAATGTCTCATGTATGTACTTTTGCAGCTTTTTCGAACGATTGGGTATGTTTTCAGGAAATACAACTTTGTTAGGAAAAGTGCCTTAAATGCTTGACTAAATCGCAAATCATTGTTTTTGGCTTCAGCGGGCTAAAGACGACCGCAGGATTTATCAAAAATTTTATATTGAAGTTCTTTTCCCAAAAATCACGAACCTTTACCAAGAGAAACACGGAGAGGCCTTTCCTATGTCAGGTGAGCAAATAATTTCAATCAAAAAAGAATAATTTTAAGTTCTAAAAAACTGATCTGCGATGGCTTTGTCTTGCTCGAGGCACGACAACATTGTTTAACGCCAATTCAATCAATTTTATAGACTTTAAAACTGTGTTTGCGCCAAACCTGCAATAACGATTATTTTACGTTTTCGCATGGTGTGCTCAAATGAACAGTTTAGCTTCTTGGTACTTTGCCGGCATCCTTGGAAATTAAAGGGGAAACTCATCCTTTAGATTCTCTCTGTCAGTTCCTAAGAAAGCTAATTGATACAGGACAGCAAGCAATTAAGCGAACAAAATATTACATTTTTTGATAAATATGCACCTCTCTTGGTAAAAAAGAAACTCTTTTAGCACATCGAAGGCTCGTATGTAGATTGGATAGTTGTGACTGAAAGTGTTTTGCAAGGCTTTAAAGATTCTATTTAAACTCTTTTTATTTATAGTTCAAGCAAAAGTGGACCATTTGCAAAAGAACGTGAATGAAATAATGGTGAAGCTTGATGCAATACTAAAAAAAGTAGGAGGAGAATTCCAACTTCGGGTAAGCAGAGTTTTTCAGGTCATGCCGTCTAGAAAGACCATTTTCCGATAAACGCTGAGGAAGACGTTCCTACGCAGTGGGCCATAGCCTTAAAAGCCTTGCGCAGTAATTAAGGATCGCATATCTTTTTTCTAATTTTACTGTAGGACCAGACATCGATGCAAACTTCAAGAAATTTACAGGAGGCTGGGATTTCCTACCATTCGGCTGTTTGACCGGAAATGAGAGGAAAGACATGGTAGACCATACAAGACGAACAGGCTCAGGGATGCCATTGACAAATAAATCACTAAATTAACATAACATTGATCTAAAATAATGAAACAAACTCAGGTGTCCAATTTGTTTAATCCCCAATTTTCACATTATGTTTAACGGCCCTTGAACTTTAAAAAGAATGCATACTTATCTATCTCGCATTCCCGGCGCACATTGCACATCAACATCACCTTGGTTACATAACAGGGTGTATAGCTGTTTTGTCTTTTCGTCTTTTATGACTTGTCATCAATATTGGGATAGCTCGAGCGTTTCAAGTTTCCTTTGTACCTACTGCGATTTTACTTATACAGGCATGCAGAGAAAAACAAGCAAAGACCTCTTAAATTCAAACCTAGCTAGTTAAGTCTAATAATTGACTCCATTTTCTCAAATAACGTAGGGTCGACGCGATCTATCCTACGTAGCTGGTGGGATTCTTGTGCCCGGGGTACTTTCTTGCTAATTCCGCCAGTACGCAGGCTAGCCGTGATCGAGCGCTTACTTGAATAACAGTCAGGAATCAAGTTATATTGAAAAGTATTTCGCGCCTCAGTTTCTTCCGTTTGACAGCGTTCAATATATCTACTTGTTCACGGTGTGGTTAGCCTGCGAAAACATCCGTTTCTCCTCGCTCTTCGCCGCCGGAGACGTTTCGCGAGGAGGAACGTCTGCGACTCAGCGGCAGAAATTCAATACTGATGACGCAATCCAATTCCTCCGCGCGAAACGTCCCCATCGGCGAAGAGCGAGGAGAAACGGATGTTTTCGCAGGCTACGGTGTGGTGTATATTTGCCTGGACATAACACTATTAATCTTGTTCACATCATTTGCTAATGCTGTTTTGCTTGATTGTCAACTTTGATTCGGCAAAAAAATTAGAGCGAAGTTGTTCTAAAACATAGCTAAAGGTTGTGCAAATGTAGCTTTGACGCGCATTAGATCAAACACCCATATTGTACCTTTCTGGAGGAAAACACTAGGACTGTCGTCACTCAGGGCCAGCACATCTGATACCTTTGCCAATTAGTTCGTTACCTGTTTAGTTCAACTTTACTAGTAATTACTACCTTTGACGCGAAACAAACAGGGGAGCCCAACGACGGTTTCCTTCCAAATTCATGGAAACACTCAGTCAGGTGAAAAACTCTACGACTGTCACTCAGAGCCGGCACATCTGATACCTTTGCCAATTAGTTCGTTCTCAGTTCAACTTTACTAGTTACTACCTTTGACGCGAAACAAACATGGGCGCCCAACGACGGCTTCCTCCCAAATTAATATTTATGAAAGGCCTTTTTAGGCTATCCAGAGTATTTTCAGACCACTAGAAATGCATTCCAAACAGCGCTATAAAATTTGTGAGATCTGTTCGGTCACCCTAGGGGAATTTATCAGTCTTTTCGAAATTACAGGGGCTTCAGTATTATCTTCCCTGAAATTTTAGATGCAATTTAGCGCAATATGGAAAAAAAAGTGATTCCTCTCTCCATCACATTTTTGAATC